CTGCTTGGTTAGGTGGAAGGAGAAGGTGGACAGCATGACCAGGACAGAAACCACAGCAGCCAACACAGTACAACTACAGACCAGCCACTTTTCCTGTCACTGTCTAGCGGAGGGCCACAGAATCCAAGGGAAGGAAGCAACGTCCTCTTGGCTGGACCTCCTCTAGTAGACAGTCTGTTCATCTCCCAGGGCACAAGAGTTGAGCATCCTTGAATCCCAAAATAAAGAGACCTTATTAAAAATAGAAGGCCTAGAGGTGGAGAAATGGCTCAGTGGTTAAGAGCACATACTGCTCTTCCTGAGGACCTGAGTTTGATTTCCAAAACACACACACATCAAGCAGCTTACAACTGCCTGTAACCCCAGCTCCAGGGGCATCTGACTCCTGACCTCGGTGGGCACTTGCATTCGTGTGCATACATCCCAGCCCCCATAATTAAAACAATACAATTAGATCTTAATAAAAAAAAATAGAAGACTGAGGCCAGGGGAGAGGGGCACCAGAGCCTGAGCAGACAGGCAACGAACAGTGGCAAGAGCCTCCGGCTCCCTCTCTACCTTACCTCACTTAGAGGCCTCTCAGGCCAGCCTTTGCTGGTGCCCTGCCCTAGTTCTGCTTTTCTGCAAAGAATAGAAATAAAGAATTCAAGAGCCCCAGAGAACCATGGGTTTCCAAGTGCAGACCTAGGGGATGGGCACACACACCCAGGCACAGGACACATGCAATCAGAGGCTTCTCCTCACATCTACCTCAGAGTTCATTTTTATCTTTACAAAAATGCTAACTGCTCAGTCTGCAAGACAGAACAGGGACATCTGCTGCAGGGTCCTTTTGAGGCATTCAGGCAAAGGTCATTAGACACAGGCTACTAAGTTCTGTCAGTCTGGTGATCTTCAGCTATTCTGTAGAGCCAGCCTTCACCTGAATCCCCCCAAATCCTGAGCTTTGTCTCCCAGTGAACAGAACCCATCCTTATGAAGGAGGTCCTATGTACTTTGCATCCTCCATCAACAGAATCTGTCCTTATGCAAATTACAAATCCTTCTTCCCTAGACCCTTACCCTAAGCACTGTTCATCAGCCAATAGAACTCTGTCTTATTGTAAGGTCACAGGTGCTTTGCTATAAAGATGTATTTTGCAAGGGAGTTTCTATGGAGCCATCCCTGAAGCTCTGCTGTGGTAACTGTCACATGGAGATTTCCTCCCCAAAGTTTCACTCTGCTTAAATAAGAAAAATAAACCCTTTGGTCAGACTCAGCACCTGCCCAAGTGGTGCTGACCTGAGTTTCATTCTTCACCTCATGTGGATCATTTCCTTGCCAGCCGTGAGGCCTGCAGGGCCAACAATCTTTCTCTGCGTCCTGACTGAGGGTACAAGGTGACATGTGGCCTCACAATCCTGTTGCCACACCCTCTTCACTGCACTGGGCTGTGATCTTAAACAAAGCCTTAACTTGCCCTGCGCAGATATTTGTCACCAAGAAGAGAAAGCAAATAATGCAACAAGCTTCCCGTCTGTTCCTCTTTTCAATGTGTGGGATGCACATGTGTGCAGGCACGCACACACACACACACACGCGCGCACGCGCGCGCGCACACACACACACACACACGTATGTGCAAGTGAGTGGGGACCAGAGGTTGGTCTGGTATCTTCTTTGATCACTGTCCTCCTCATATATGGAGGCAGAGTTTCCCACGTGAACTCAGGGCTCGATGGTGAGGCTGGTCTAGCTAGCCAAATGCTCCAAAAGTCTCCTGGTCCTCCTCCCAAGTGCAGGCTGGGGTTACAGGTGGGCAGCCATGCTCACCCTGCACTTCTGTGGATGCTAGGAAGCTGAAATCTGATCCTGCGCCTGTGCACCACGTGCTTTATCCGCGGAGCCCCTCCCCCACTCTCACTTTTGAGTCAGGGCCTTACTATGTGCCCTAGAGAGCTTTGAACTCTTGACTACAAGCTGTGCCACCATGCTGGATATCATTCTCTTAATAAAAGATCCAGGACGGTGGGAGTGGATGGGATGGTGAGTCTTTGCTGAGAACTACAATCTTGAAGTTGTCTGCCGAAGACTCCTGACCAAGGGGTACATACTGTAGGAATCCGCTTTCAGAAAGCTCAGAGTCTGACAAAAGCCTCCTGTGAGTTGAGAGAAGTTCGTGTGTGTGTGTGTGTGTGTGTGTGTGTGTGTGTGTGTGTGTGTGTTCACTTTGTGAGTGCTTGGATCATACATTTAATGATTTGGGTCATTATCTGTATGTGGTTTATGCATTAATACATTTTTTGAGGAAAAAAACCACTCTCTTTAAAGACAAAGCAGTTTTACTCTGACTGCTTGCAGTATCTAACCCCTGTGTGCTGGGCCAGAGACTAAAAAAACAAGTGAATACAAAAAAACAAAACAAAAAACCAAAACCTGCCACCCAAAGAGCCTGTTTTCTCCCATCAAGTGGTTTTTCACAGTTTTCAAGTCCAGTGCCCGGTTTCATCAGCTATAACATTCAGCTGATTTCAGGTGGGGACTAATTAGGTCTGTCGAAGTCCCTTGACAATATCCGAATGGGGTCAGTTTGGCTGTGGACCAGAGTGGGGCAGAGCAAGCCATGGCCTCCCAGGTCCCCCTTAGAGGACAGCAGAGAAGTCAGGCAATGTTCTCCACTACATAGTGATGTTCGGGAGATGTTGGGGGTGGGGTGGGGCTTTCCTGGCATCTCACTCCACAGGCGCAGATTAATAAGCACTCTCCTTGGGGCACTGAGAAAATGAGCCAGAACCTTACAGGTCATTCTTTACAAGCAAAATACACAAAGGGACTTAGCTAGCGCCTCTCCAACAGGAAACCATTTGTCTCTAGAGTAAGGAGGAGGAGAAAGAGGGGAGGGGGGAAATGGGGGGAGAGGAGGAGAGGAGGGAGGAGGGGAGGGGAAGGAGGAGAGGAAGGGAGGGAGGAGGGGAGGGGAGGGAGGAGGGGAGGGGAGGGAGGAGGGGAGGGGAGGGAGGAGGGGAGGGGAGGGAGGAGGGGAGGAAGGATGCTGAGCCTGCTACCAGGCCCAGCTCTGGGGAGATAATGCTCCCTAATCACAACACAGTTGCACAAATAGAGTCCCCTTCTCCTGAGAAAAAGAAAAAAACAAAAAACCCAAACATTTGTTTAAATGGGGACTGAACAACTCTGATTAATTTTAAAGTTCTTTTTCCACTTTCCTTTTTAGAATGTAGCTAAAAATAAAGGCTTAAAGGCTTAAAACTTGAAATAAGTAAGCAACACACACACACACACACACACACACACACACACACACACACACACACACACGGCTTTTACCATATACGGTGGCCTTATTCTTCAGCCTTTGAAAAGGCCAGATGAAGAGATGGCCAACAACCAAAACAACCCTTCAGAAAACTGCAGAGGAAGAAAGCTGGAAGACTTAGTGAATGGCGGGCAACTGCCAGGCCCGCTCATGGGGATGAATGCCCATGGAGCAGTGAGTTGCCATAGCACTTGGGAACATGTACAGGCACATGCATCTGACACAGCCATCCCTCCAGGGAGGGTGCTCTGCCCTCTGGCCTCAGCACTGAGGAAGCAGCAGAGGCTCCAGTGTAACTTCAAGGGAGGAACCAGTGCAGGGCATGACTGAAAATTTAGTGAAGACCCTCCTCAGCATGAAATTGGTAAGAGAGATGGGGCCAGGGCTCCAGGGCAGGAAGACCTGGCGAAGATGTGAAGGAGAACAGCCCAGGTCAGCCCAGAAGCCAGCAGTCCTGTGTGTGGTGGGGGAGGACTGGCTACTGTATCACCAGGCTCTGCTGCGAATGTGTCTGTGGCAAAAGACTAACACGTTCAGGTCATACAAATGCCACGCTTGGGAACTCTGAGCGGAAGCCACCTTTCCTGGGGTTGCTACCTTTCCTGGGGTTCTATGGTTTCCAAAGTCGAGGCAAAGGTACTCCTGGACACTTGCTAAGACACCTACTTTCCTGACATGAACAGGTTAGAGACAGGAAAGCAGGTTTAAGACAGGAGGTAGTGCAGACGAGACAGATGGAGAAGAGCGGGAGGCTGAGGTACCACCATGCAGGCCCAGGCTCTCCACCCACAGAAGCTTTGAGAGAGCACCAGTCACGGGCAGAGTCCAGGTGGGCTTGGAGCGCAGCTTCTCTAACTCTGCATGGTGGTGGTCTAGCTCTTCCTTCTGCTGACTCACTCACTCTGGAAAGCACCAGGCACAGGAGCGGGGCGACTACTCAGGGCACGTGTTTGGTATGCATGAAGCCCTAGAGTTTCACCCCAGAACTACACAAACAAGTTAATTTGTCAGGCAGAATCTGCACTGAAGGGACACATCCCGGTTATGGAGTGGAATGCATGGGACTGTAGAGAACAGCTCCCCAAATGTCACGCTAAAACTGTCCTCATGTTCCCAAAGGCAGCATGTAGACTATGAGACACAGGACCTGCAGGCCTCATCCCACCGTGTCTTCTTCCTTTTCAGCCCCAGGCATGAACTCTGCAGGTTGTGTTCTGCAAAGACCCTGCTTCTGGGTGACACGGCTAACAGTCTGCCCATGCTTGCTCAGAAAGGCTTCCTGCCCAGGTAGGGCACTGGGCACTGAGGGCTACTCTACATCCGCTGGGCTGGCACCCATTAGCCTGGCCTCCGTGACTCCCAGGGAGCTTAGTGTGGTTTGTAGACAGGAAAACAAGGCCCTGAGAAGTTTTGAGACTGGGCCAGGGAAGGCCACACATAGCAGGGCTGAGACTGAACCACGCCTGGCTGTCCCAAAGCCTGTCCTTTCTTTTCCTACTGCATGGTGGAGTCTGGTTGGCAGCTTCACATCCAAGTCAGGTGTCCCCAGAACAACATTCCCCAGGTCACAAGGCCCCTGTGAAGCCTCAGCTGCAGCAGTTGTGTTGGTGGAAGGGTGAGGTGTCCCCACCTTCCCCTCCACCGGAGAATTGGGGCAGGACCCCAAGTTCATTCCCAATCACTCACCTGGTGAGGCACAAGCCCCAGAGAGGTGGGAGGCTCATTCATGCGGTCGTCACTGCTGCTGGCGATGGCATAGCCCCTGCAAGAGGGAAGCAGGAGGGCTCTCAGCTCACAGCTCACATGTGCTCATGGCGAGTACAGAGAGAGCATCTAGGGGCACTGGACAGAGTAGAACCAGATGCCCTTTGCTGGGCCTCATAAGCTAGCAGGAGACTCATTCCATGGGAGCGAGGGAAAGGCAGTCACTAAAAAACGGGCACCATGGAGTGGGGAAGAGGAGAGCAAGCTTGTGTTGTCTCTAACCAAGCCGCTCAACCATTAGCTGTGAAGCAGGAGCAGGGCGGGGGAGACGGACTGCATGATACATCAGGGGCATGTGAGATAAATCGCCAAGTGCAAGGCTTGCTTGCTTCCCTCCCCCTCTCTCTCTCTCTCTCACTCCCTCCCTCCCTCCCCCCTCCCTCCTCCTCTCCCTCCCCCCCCCTCCCTCCCTCCCTCTCTCCCTCTTATCCCCACTCTCTCCTTTCACAAGCTCTCACTACACTGTGAAAGCCAGCTAGGCTTGGACTCTCCTCCAGCTCAGCCTTCCAGCAGCTGGAGCGGGCTGTGTACCCCACAGGCTCCTCTCACCTGCTACACTGATCCAAATGCCATGAACATGGAGGAAGGAGAAAGAAAAGGAATGAACTGGGCAGAAGTAATGGGCTCCTCCCAGAGAAGGGCCACACTCATTTATGTCCCGGACAAAGGGGACAGGGAGTGGGATCAAGGAGGTGTAGAGCCAGCTCTCAAAGATTTTACTTCCTACCAGGGGGTAGTAAGAAACTTGGATGGCAGGGGAGGCGAAGGCAAGGGAGGACATAACTGCTCATTCTCCGTTTACGCCTTGTTCACCAGTCACAGGCCCTCTGAGTCACGTGACAAACAGACTACTGCTGTGGTTGTCTGTGGGAGCCCGTTCTCGGGTTCCTCGTGGCTTTACCCAGCAGGTCCGCATAGAGGATGATTAGGACCACGGGCCTGAGTGCAGGTGTCTGGGATGGTCTGCACTTGGCTGTGCTGGGGGAGGAGGTCTTTTGCTCCACCCCTTGGCGTCTCTATAAAAACCCTGGGGCAGAGACAGTCGGGGCCCGTTGGAATAGGTTCCAGGCCCTCTCGAGGCTATCCTTTATTTTCTGTTTATCTCCGCAAGATTCTCCGCAATAAATCCTTCTATCTAATATTTCCTGCTGCTCGCACTCAAGAAAACTCTGGGGAACTGTGGGGGTGGTTGGGTAAACGCCCCACAGTTGTCCACACTGTCTTTCTTGGAATTCCATTTGGATGAAAACTAAGCATTTTCTGCACTTGATTCTCTCCACCTGCACTACAAATGGCCCACTTAGCACACCACTCCAAAGCAGGTTGTGGCAGCGATGGATCGATGCTGGAGGAGCCACAGCCTGGCTGCCACCCACTGGCCGCTTGAGTTTTACACACCAAGCTTAGCTCCCCATCAGAAACAGGAGTGATAAGCAAGGGGAGATGGCAGGAACTTGTCATGCTGGCAGACTGGGGACCACCCTGAGTGGGAGGGCTATATGAGTTCAAGGCAAGCCTGGGATACACAGTGAGACTCTGACCAAAAATAAGAAAAACAAAATCACAACTACTAGTTTCCTCCTAGTGAGTTCAATAGGGGGTTGAAGAAGTAGACAGTTGTAATGTTCTTGGGGCAGGGCCTTGCACAGACTTGAGAAATGAACCACTGCATCTGCAGTCCAGCCTGGGCACCTGTTTACCCACAGGCCAAAATCATAGATTCAGTGGAGAGTAAGAGCAGTGTGAAATGAGATCATATGGAAGGTCTAGACCTGAAATGTAACAATGGAACTACAAATCTTGATGGTTTGAACCTTTGCCAGGCACAGAGAAGAAAGAGTCAACACACAGGCAGAGGAGCCAATCAAAAGAATGTGCTGAGGCAAGGGAAGACCGGGAGAACGTGAAGGATGCAGGGACTCGAGTGAGAGATGCAGGGGGACCAGACAGAGTACAGTTCGGAGTCCTAGAGAGCACGGAGGATGAGAATGGGGAGAGTGGTTCTGGGGACAGGGCCGAGAAGTTACACTACAGACGGAGCTCACCATGCAGGAGACGCCGGAGGCTGCAGAAGGCTGAGCCAAAATGAACTAGAGCAGACAGACTGCCCCAAGGTCACCGGGGGACAATGGCCACAGGGAGAAGAGGGAGACCACTCAAAGGAGACAGTAAAAGGGATGAGAGATGACTCACAGGCCCTGAGAGACAAGAGCCGGCTGGGGGCCCGGCGGTAGAGTACCTGCCTAGCATGTGCGAGGCTTAAATTCCAATATCCAGAAATGATGCAGGGTGGGGTGGGGGGAGGAGCAGAAGGGGGAGGAGGAGGGAGAGGAGAGAGAGAGAGAGAGAGAGAGAGAGAGAGAGAGAGAGAGAGAGACAGAAATACACTAGTCTAAAATTCCATCAAAATGAGAAACTTCCTTAATTACAAAGACATTTTCAGACAGACAAAAACTGAAATGCTTAAGGGAATTCTACAGGCAGAAGAAAACGCCTTTGGGTCACACGTTTGGAGACACAGGAAGAATTGAAAAATGTTAGGGAAACTAAACGAATATTAACCATGTAACAGTGTCTTCTGGGGTTTAAATACGTGAAGAATTTTCAAAAATGAATGTGAAGACACTGCCGGTCATCTAGTCAACATTTAGTCTCCTCTTCCACCTCTCACAACTTTATTTGGAGAGGCAACAGGCCCAGCTGACAGATTTCTTAGCATTCCTTGCTAAGTGAATCAAAGGATGCATCCTCTAGAAAGGGTTTTCAGGGGCAGCTCACAGGTCTGCATCACCAAGGCAGAAAAGGACCCAAGGAGAAAGTGGCTGACCCCCTGTCCACAGCTGCTATGACAGTAAAGAAGCACAGGAAACAGTGGTCTTGGGACTACGCAACCAAAATGGCACCTCGTGGCCTTGAGGGTGTGTGCTGATGTGAGCCTCGTGGGTCTGCAGAGTGGGGAAGTTGCCCTTAGAAAATCCAAGCTAATAACTGCAAGGGCATGCTGAGGTCAAGACAGCCAACGGCCTGTGCTTTGCCTGCCGTGGGTTGCCTGGACTAAAACCACAACAAGTAGGTAAGATCTACGCTCAGGATCAACAGGGAAGGCACCGGGCCTGCACTACCCCATGAACTACAGACAGCCCTGGGAACGTGCTGGAGCAGCCAGGCTGGAACTGGGCACAGGCACGGGCTCTGTGGGGAGGGCTGCAGTTCTGGAGAAGCAGCTGGTGACAAGACAGGTGCTCAGGTTGAACAGGAGGAGGGACATGAGCACTCATCAAGAATCTGTTTAAAATCAGATCCCAATAGTGACAACTCTCTTATTTGTCACGCTTGCCCCTGGCAGCCGGTGAAAGAGACACCAGTCTGATGTCACCTGTGACCTTTCGGATGGATTTTGTCCATTCTGTAGTTAAAAAGGTGTGGTGTTGTTTTAAGCTGTAGTCATCTGAAAATGTTTCCCAGAGAAGAGTAACAAAGGGGCCCTGCCACTTGCTGCTGAGCTATCACGACTGATGGATTCTGGGAGGGAGGGAGGGAGGTGCCCACTGCTGAGCCCAGCAGGCTCAGTGCATAGCCCAAAACCCATGGTCACACCGCTGGCCCCGGGCAAACTCAGTGGGTCACAAAACAAAACAAGGAGTCGTGTATATGACAGAGACATTTACAGGGTAGAAGGGGAAGACAGGTGGTGGGAAGGAGAGTAATCAGCAATATAATCATGTTAAGTACACGTAGGAAATCACCCAAGAACAATCCATTAATTAAAAAGGCAGAAAATTGATGAAAGGAGTCCCTTTGTCTCAAGCCCCATGGCTTTTACTTTGCTACTAAAATAAACGCTTATCTGCCTGTGAGTAGGTACTGTCACACAGATGTGATCATGGAGAGCACAGCAGCACCTTGTGCCCACAGCTGAGGAAGGCTGAGTGGCACATGCTGAGCCTCTGGACCCACCCTGGACTGTGGACTTAGAATTTTATTTGGCCAAGTCCCTGGACATGGAACTCGGCCACAGGCAGCTGACACAATTCATACTGCCAGTGACACATTATATACACAGTATATACAGTATACCCATTATACAGTATATACATTATATACACAGTATATACAGTATACCCATTATACGTTATATACATTATATACACAGTATATACAGTATGCCCATTATATGATATACACATTATATACACAGTATATACAATATACCCATTATACAGTACATACATTCACAATGTCCAGGGCTAAGAAAACCACAACAGACTAACAAAAGAGAAGTGTGAAAGACCAAATGCCCCTTCCAAAGTCTTCCTTATCAGCTGCCAAAAAAACTCAGAAGAATTCAAGAAGGGCACAGGGCATACCCCAGAGATCACATACTGAGTATTTGGGCCAAAGAATTGGACTAGATTTTTTTAAAGTCTTGTTTTGAGGTCAGAAAAGCCAAGAGGTTGAGGGAGGCCAAGAGAGTCTAAGGGAGACAGTGCTTAGTGATTACTGACAAGCACTCAGTTCAAATGTTCGTCTCTAGGCTCCAGACTCACCCCTCAGGATGCTGCAGGACAGAAACCATCAGCTCCACAGCCAGGGCACCTGCAATCACGGCCAGGCCTGGGCGGCTCACCGTGCACTGCTGGTCCAGTGTCCGGTCTCTGGTTGACTAACAAGAAACAATCAGTGACATGTATAGAATATTCTAGTCCAGGTAGCCCTAGGTGAACCTGAAACTCCCCAAGATAGAGCTTTAAAATACAACCAGATTGTTGTAGCTGACAAAGGCTGGCCAGCCTCACCCTATTGTGTCTTGGGAGGATCATAATAAATAAAACAGAGTATGTAATTAAATGAGGCAATATGCTGAACAGGATGTGCACTTGTTAAGAGACAGAGACAGGGACATTGACCATCAGCAGCATGACCTCATGGTGGCTCTGCACCCAGTGCTCCTGTAGAGGAATCCATCCCCTCTTCTGTGCTTAGTGGGTGTGAGGTTGAGTCACAGAGTAACAATCGTGAGTAGCTGGTGACCCTGTCCTGCCATGCTCCCCGAGGTAATGGCTCAGAGTGACTCTGAGGAGGGGGCCACAATCTCCACCCTGCTGTCCTCTGTTCCTGCACATTGCCTCATCACCTTGACTGTAGTCTGAGGACTTAACTACAAAACCACAAGCATTTGTTACCATCTGTTTCCATACACAAGCCAAACCTGGGTCAACTCCACAAATTCTAACCTTCTAAATGGGGGCAAATCCTGCAGTTATTTGATGCTATAAAAATTTCATGGACTGAAAAGACATGGCTGCTGTGGAATATTATTTTAAGGTGAGGAGACAGTGGAAGGCCTGGACTAGAACCCAGGGTTTTAGTCTCCCTATCTGGGGCTCTTTCTATAACGGACCAGCTTCTGCAGACGTTTCCTTACTCAGTTTCTGTCAGATGGTTGTAGCCACATTCATGCAGTGACTGTGGCTCAGCCATTCAAGAAAGGGTGCCAATCATGGCTTAGGGTTGGATAATGCCACCCACCCCAACTAGAGAATGCTCTTTATTAGACATCTTTAAACAGCCCTGGGAGGACCCTGCCCCAGCACACAGGATGCTGAGTAGAGCTGTTTGTAACCATGGAATTGAACTTACATCTCCTGGAGCCACTACATCATTGCAGAAATAGCAGCCAAGCTTGTATCCAGGGATGTTAGCAAAGAGCGAGGAGCCCAGGTCAGCAGGTGCCATAAGGTGGCTTGGGCACAGGTCCCCAGCTCCCTGTGGCTTGGGTTTCTTCAGGCCGTGTCTCATGACAACAAAGGTGTCAAACCCCAAGGCAGCGTTGATGACGAGCTGTTGGCATTGAAGGAACAAAAGGGAGTGAGGAGAGACAAACTTCAGGCCAAGGCTAAGTCCACACGCAGCTACCTTTAAATGGCTTTCTTTTTCCTGTGATGTAACTAGACTTCAATAGTCAACTGAAACCTGCAAGAGACTTGATAAACTGCTAACATAAACCATCTCATTTAAAGCCCCTACAAACATTGTCTTTTCATAGACAAGGATATCGAAGGTCAGAGTTCTACCTCTGTCCCAAGGTCATGCAGCTGATAGAAGAGAGGCGTGGAGAGCAGTTGGTGGGTGCCCACAGCATCTGCCCTGTCCTTTCAGTTCCTTGGAACATTTTACTGAGACACCATTTGTAAACCATGATCACCACTACATGGGTTTTAAGAGACACTTTCTTCATTTGTGCTGTAAGAACTCTTCTTGGTTGTGGTTTAAGTTTTCCCCCAATTTTCGGTCACATACAAAGAATCAAGAAAATGCATGCTGGAGAAGAAAATAAAAACCTCTCCTGATACAGCTCAGGGGTTCCAGAAACTGCTGGGACATTGCCTCTTTTATCTTCTCTCCCTTCCTTTCTTGTCCTTTGCCTCATACATGATAGACAGAAGATAGACAGATGATAGGTGACAGATGGCCGACAGACAGATGGGGTGGATTGTGGTAGAGGCAGACATGCATGTTTTTATAGAGAGATGTAACACTTAAGATTCATATACTATTTTATCTTATATATGGTATTTTCTCATCACCATTCTTTGAAAAGCTCCCTGAGAGTGAGAGCACACTTAGTAATGCATCCTACAGCACAGGCCCTTGACCTTCATCTGTACCCAGAGTGGCAGCTGCAGGGATTGCTAAGAGAACAGTAAGCACACCCAGGCTGGGTGACAGCGTGAGGTAAAGAAGGGCTGTAAGGCCACAGAGGTCACCGCTTCCGGGGGGGAGGGTGGGCTGTGAATACTTCTCTCTTGGGTGGCACACCCCACCTTCCGCTTGCTGGCTGCAATGACAGCAGGAAGCCACCGGCTCTCTCTGGTGTCCATTAGCAGGAAGATGACATCATGGCTCTCGATGAGCTGCTCCAGCTGCTCCACATCTCTGCGGGCCTGCTCCATCGTGACGTCAGAGAAATTCACAGGATGTCCTGGCATGGGGATGCTCATGTTGAACCCACTGGCATTCTAGGGAGGCAATGGCCATACTTAGATCACTTACAACCAGGAACTTTCTGTGTATAGTGTTACTGCTCTTTCCCTCAAATACCTGGGCCTATTCACAACCTTCTCCACTTCCTTGAGCCATGTGTGTGTGTGTGTGTGTGTGTGTGTGTGTGTGTGTGTGTGTGTTGCTGAGGATGGAGCTCAGGGCCACAGGTGCAACACAGCCAGGGATGTTCACTTTCCACAAGAAGAAAAGTGTGCCAGCATCACAAACTGTGCCTCGATCTTCTGCATCCCACTGGCCACAGGCAAGTGTGGTAACATTGGCTTTCCCAGAGCTGTTGAAACACTGACTGGAAAGATGATTGCAGGGGGTGGGCAGCAAGTCTGCAAAAGCTCAGGAACTAGCCGGGCGGTGGTGGCGCACGCCTTTAATCCCAGCACTCAGGAGGCAGAGCCAGGCGGATCTCTGTGAGTTCTAGGCCAGCCTGGGCTACCAAGTGAGTCCCAGGAAAGGCGTAAAGCTACACAGAGAAACCCTGTCTCGAAAAACCAAAAAAAAAAAAAAAAAAGCTCAGGAACTAAGTGGCAACACTGAGATTCAAAGCAACATCTTCACGGGCCAACGGTTGGTTCACAGTCCTCTCCAGTGACAGACTAGACTGCTCTCCCAGGGGGGCATGCCTGTCTAACCTACGGTAGAATGACAATCTGTGCCTTCTTCCGTAGAACTCTGCAGGCTTCCCACTGGGGAGACAGAGTACACTGCCTAACGCCACTGAGCCTGGGCTTGGCCGGTGTATTGCTTGAGCAATGGGAAGAGAATGGGAATTGCTGTGCTGAGGTTGACATGAGACTCTCTAGCCTTCTATTCGCTCTCAGAACTGCAGGACCAGGAGACTGTGGCTCCTTAAGCCTCCATTTTGAAACAATCACATACAGAGCAGACTGGAAGCTGAGTCCAGCTTTGCCTATCAGCTAACACATACAGCCTGCATACCTCTGGTGTAGACTCACAGCTGGATGTCACTGAGATTTGGGGACTATGAGATACGTCACGCTGTGCTAGAGAGACCTAACTAATGTCTCAATGATGGGGCTGTGGCTACCCAGCACATAGCTGGGTACACGGTGGATACGTAGTCAATGCTATAGAATGCCACTCGATAAATGATGCTCCTGAAGGTGCTTGTGAAACAAAACCATTAACAACGGCAGGCTTCGGTAACAGACGATCAATGTTGAAAGGCTAAAGGCAGGCAGGCTTTCCATGGCCGGGCTGAGGGTGCTGCTTCTAGTCCTGCAAGTACAAGCAGAGCCTCAAAGGTCACTAACGTGTCCCCTGTCAGGTAAAATGATCATGTTCTTGCTGAAAGGCTTAAAACACATCTCGAAACTTACTTTTATTCCAGTGTGTTGAGTGTGCTGGCTAGTTTTTGACAAATTTGAACCTCGATGGAGGAATTACCTCTATCAGGCTAGCCTGTTGGTATGGTGCTGGGGATGCTGTGAATGTGTTGCTCCAACTGATTGATAAATAAAATGCCGATTGGCCAGCAGCCAGGCAGGAAGTATAGGCGGGACAGGCAGAGAAGAGAATTCTGGGAACAGGAAGGCCGAGTGAGGAGTCGCCAGCCAGACACAGAGGAAGCAAAATATAAAAGTACCTGTAAGCCACAAGCCACGTGGCAACTTATAGATTAATAGAAATGGGTTAATTTAAGATGTAAGAGCTAGTCAATAGTTAGCCTTACATCTTAATATTGAGCAATTTTAATTAATATGAGCTTCTGAGTGATTATTTCACAAGCAGTTGTGGGGTCCATGGGGCTGGGCAGGACTGGAGAAAACTTCAGCTACAAATGGTGCCCAACGGCTTGAGTTTCCACCTCAAATCTGAGAATACTTAATAATCAATTCTAAACAAGAGCCAAAACCAGATTCCTCCTTCATGTCTCATGCGGGTGACTAGACATCGCAACATGCGGGCTTGAGGTACTCTATGGTGGGTTCGGCGTGCGGGTTTGATCTGCATGCAACATGGCAGATTCCAAGCCGCGCACTATGCTGTGGGGTGGATATAGCTTTTGCTGGCCTGCCAGCTTCTGGGGACTCTCCTGTCTCTGCCTCCTTTCTCACCATGGGAGCACCAGGATTACATACACATACTTCCATGCCTGGCTTTATATGGGTTTTGAGGATTCAAATGCAAGTCTTCATGTTTACATAAAACATTACATGCCAAAACTACACAGAGAAACCCTGTCTCGAAAAACCAAAAATAAACAAACAAACAAACAGAAAACAGAAAATTTTACATGCTTTATCCAATGACCCCTCTCCTCAACATCTTAGTAGTGCTTTTAGAAGGCCACCACTGAGGTGAGGCAGTTGGCTTGGTCATATGACGCCTGTCTGGTAGGAAATACCACATGTCTGATCCTCAGTCACCATTACTACAAAGCCTCATTCCCCAGGATCCCCAGGACTTAAACATTTACAGTTTACGGGGCAAGAACATGACTATTCCCCGCAAATCATCAACATACCACTCCGGGAAATATTTTCTGGAGCCGCTCTGCTGCAGCCAGGGCCTTGGGCCTGCCACCCCCCAGACAATCTTCAAATTCATACAGAGGCTGCCTCACAGGGTTGGAGTAGGAGATCTTGGCGTTGTCCACAAATGTGACATGTCTGACACCCCAGCCCTGCACAGAAACAGGAAACCATACCTGATGAGCATGTCTTAGTACACATTTCTAGAAGTCTCTAGGAAGGATTTTGCTTCTGAGCAGCTGGGGACCTTAAAATATAGGAAACTGAAGAAACTGAATTGTACAAATCCAGTTTTTGATCATTAGAATGTCAACTTCTTTTTAAAAAACAAAACAATTATATGCCAGGGCCTAGATTCCCACAGTCATTAGACCAGGAAATAGCAGAGTTATTGTCACTTACAGTGTTATTTTTGACAGTGCCACTAGGGCAAGATTGCAAGTGAACACTAGGAGACCGTTACTGTGTTGATTCAGGGTTAGCGGGCACCCCACAAGTGAACGCTAGGAGACCGCCAGTGTTGATTCAGGGTTAGGGAGCACCCCACAAATGAACGCTACAAGACCGCTACTGTGTTGATTCAGGGTTAGCGGGTACCCCACAAGTGAACGCTAGGAGACCACTACTGTGTTGATTCAGGGTTAGCGGGTACCCCACAAGTGAACGCTAGGAGACCACTACTGTGTTGATTCAGGGTTAGGGAGCACCCCCAGACGTCTTTGGCTTCTCTTAATGAGTAACTAAGTATAAATATCAACTTCTCTGGAAACTCATTTTAGATGTCAGTTAACTCCAGAAAAATGACCAGCAAGTGGTCCCCATGTGAAACAATGAAGAACATTCTCAGAGTATTTCTCCAGCTGGAGAAACTTGCTTATAACCCAGTCTTACAAGGTGAGTCTGTGTTCTCATGCAAGTTGTCATGACGTCACAGACATTTTCATAGATGAGACCATTTCTGGAAAGGTTTTTATTTGAAGATCCGTTTGTTTTATGCACCGTGTTTCGCCTCCATGTGTGTACATACATGTAATGCCCAAGGAGACCAGAAGAGGGCACTGGATCTCCTGGAGCTGGAGCTACATGCTGTAGTGAGCTGCCAGGTGGATGCTGGGAACTGAACACACGTTCTCTCCAAGAGCAGCCAGTGGTCCTAACCCCTGTGCCATCTCTCCAGCCCCTATATTCCCTTACAATTTTATACAACCACATAGTTTTAAAGTTGGACTAATAAGTTATAAAGAAAACTTTTTATAAATAGCAGTCTATGAGACAGACAGCTTTTATGAATATAAATGAACAGATAAGTGACAAGGCCCATGAATGGCCTCCGTTTCCTTCAGCCAGGACAACCTCAGTGGTAATGTCCTTGTGTATGGAGTCTGACTATTTGTGGGAAGGGAACTGGACCGGGACTGGAGGGGCATCTTCCGCTTCTGTCTCACAATGACTACAGATTACTCTTGAACTAGCGTTGCTGAGGAGAGCCGGAGAGGAATGGGAGGGGGCACCTAGGAGATGGGAGGCACCAGTGCTGGGAAACAAGAGGCACAGCTGGACAGCTGCACAGAGGTCCCCAAACTCACCATCAGTGTCCTAGCTACATTACACCCCAAGGTACCAGCTCCCAGCAACAGGCACTTGACAGACACGACCTTGTCCAAGTCCAAGGTGGGGACCAATCGCCAACACATCAACTTGAGATTCAGATCCACGGATGACTCAGCCAGCCTGGAAAACAAGGGATGGATGTGCTGGTGAGTCATTTGAATGAAAAAAAAAAAAGAAATAAAAAGGAGAGGACATGACAGCTGGTAGGTATGGTGGAGGAGGGGAGAGCATAGTCAGAGGCAGGGACATCCGGGACAGTCCAGAGTGGACATGACCAGACTGAGCTGGGCCAGATGAGGAGAGAGGGGGAGGGAGAGCAAGAGAAGAGCCACTGACCAACAGTGGGAGCTTGAGCCAAGAGATGGGCATACATGCGGTGGTGAGGGCGAGGGAAGGATCCCCCACTCCCGTCTCCCCTGCCAGGTGAGGGAGCTGACCCTCCCCCTTATCAGCTGCAGCACTCAGGAAATCGGGCCTTGCACTTCACTATTGACGGATGAGGGTGAACTGGCCTGAGAACGTGAGCTTGGGAAATCTGGCTCCACCCTTCATCTGCCATATGGTGGCAGAGGCTGGGGAGAGATTCCCCCCTCGATGCCTGTGGAGTAGAAGAGCTGTCCCTGCCCCTCACCAGCTGGAGCACTCAGGAGAGTGGCCCCTGGGAAACCCAGTAGAGCTGGTCCTGCTGTTGTATGTGCACGTGCCCTGAGGGTATGAAAGAAGGAGAACGCGTCCCACCCCTTGCTCATTACTACAAGCAGGGGTAAACTAGCCGGGGCAATGCTGGAGATCTCACCCTGGTGGTAAGGATGGAGAGAGCCGGTGGGCTGACCAATCCTGCAACTACCCAGGCCCAGAACAAGGAGTTGGTCTACTCCAACATCCACCCCATCTATAATCTGCTGAAGCACATGAAGGGGCCGGTCCTCTGTACCCAAAACTGCAGGATCTCCATGACACAGGGCAACAACAGGATGTGGGATGTCTTTCTGTACACTGTGAATATGTGGTGCTCTCATTGGTTGATAAAAAAAGCTGTGTGGCCAATGGCGAGGCAGAATAAGGTTAGGCAGTACATTCACACTGAAGATGGAGATGAAGGGCAGAGTCAGGGCAGATGCTGTGAGCTGCCCAAAAAGCAAGATGTGAAAGAACCAGTAAGCCATGGGCCATGTGGTGATACATAGATTAATAGAAACAGGTTAATTTAAGTGTAAGAGCTAGTAATAAGCCTGATCTACTGGCCAAACATTTATAATTAATATAAGCCTCTGAGTAGTTATTTTAAAAGTGGCTGCGGGGACTGGGTGGAACAGAGGAAAACCTCCATTTACAGAGTCCCAGTGAAGGCCCAGCATCAACAGTGTAGCAGAAACCTGAGGCCTCAAACCAGATCAATGACTCTTTGCAATGAACACCTGCAAGTAAAGATGTGTGGATTAAAGGGTATACTGTGTGACTCGCTGTGTCACACTACAGTGTCCATGATGAGATTTTTCTTTTCTTTTTCCCTCTTAATTTGATTTTGTGGGGAGGTTGCAAGTGCAGAAGGCAGATACGAAGGGACAGGGAGATGAATGGGATCAAGATGCACGATATAAAAGACACAAAGAATAAATTAAAAAAGTAAAAACAGAGAGAGAGAGAGAGAAAGAGAGAGAGAGAGAGAGAGAGAGAGAGAGAGAGAGAGAGAGAGAGCCAAAATGTCTGGATTATACAGGGAAGGGCAGCCCAGGCCCTGGGATGGGGAGTTCAGGGTAGGGGGTAGGATATGCCAGTCATACCCTGTAACAGGTAGGGACTGAGGGATGCTAGGAGAACCTGGTGGCCAGGTCTGCTTTGATATGTGTTAATGGGCACCTCGGCCATTTGACCCAGGCTGGAGACCTAACACATTCACATGTGCTCCAGTCTTCATTTCTAACAGAGAGACAAGATCTATGGGAGGAAACAAGATGGCAATAATCAGGCAATCGGAGTCAGAGTGAAAATGAGAGGAAGCTTGTAGGTAACAGAGTGGAGAAAGGTTATCATGCAGAAAGCAGGCCACTTCCTCTGCGATTGCTGGGGTGGGCCCAAGTCCCTATATGGAGCTCCTAACAGCAAGGGGAGAGGGGAAGTTAGAGCAGTCCCGAGCTGTTGTGTCGGCTTACAAGAATGGCTCTTCCAAGTACCAAAAACCCTCCCAGAGCATAATAAAGGGTACGCGGATTCTCATCCTTGAAAGTAATGTGGCTTCTCCACAAATGCAATGCTCTTTATAAAATCCTTCAGGGGTGGTAGGTAGGACAAAGTCTACAGCCGGGAATAAAGAACTAGAAAGGGAGGCAGAGGCAGGTGAGCTCTGCAACTTCCAGGCCTGCCAGGGCTGCACAGTGAGACTCTAAACGGCAACGACCATAGAAACTAGAAAAGGCCGTGCTGAGGTCCGGGTGTCTGAGAGTCTGAGCTGGAAACAAGAGTGGAAAGCCGCACATGCCTCGGGATGCCTGGCACACTAGTCCTCAGGACAATGTGGACCAGCAGTAGCTGGCTCTACTACCGTTACCAGCACCCCTGAACTACACGGCACAGCATCGGCCACACCCACTGGAGACAATGGCACCCGTCATGTCTACCTTTTGGGGTCCATGCATCCGCTGAGGTTCACCATCCTTGGTCCCATGCCTCCTTTCTGGTTCTTCTCCCAGCCAACTGCTTTAGGACAATCTTAAGGTAAATAAAACATAAGGTTTACTAAAGGGGAAATAAAAACAAACCTGAACTCATGTCTTCACGCTTGTGTGGCAAGCACTTCAGACTGAGCCCTGTCACCCCAGCTGCCCTCTCCTTCCCTTCACATTGACTGCCCTCTTCTTTTAACAATGCTTATTTTATGTGTATGAGTGTTTTGCCTGCATGTCAGTACACCACATGTATGCAGTGTTTTCAGAGGCCAGAAGAGGGCATCAGATCCCCTAGAGCCAGAGTTACATACAGTTTTGAACCACCATATGGGTGCTAGGAAGTGGACCTCTGCAAGAGCAGCCAGTGCTCTTAACTGCTGAGCCATCTCTCCAGGCCAGCTGTCCTTTTATCTCCTATACAGGAGCCCCTGGAACTCCAATCCCAGAACTCGCCAGAGTTTATCTTAGTCTGTGCTACAAAGAATGAGATGGTATTTCCATGAGTGTAGATCTGTCACTGTGTGGAGTGCTCTTTCCACATCCTGCAGTTAACAGAAACCCCTCAGGGCCACAAGATCTCTCACAATTCCTGCTGCTGTTCTGGGACCTCCGTCCTCTCCTTTTCTCAAAGACTTCCTTCTATTTAGAATAAGCTTCAACCACTGAGCAGAGAACTCTGCCTTAGGTTACATTTCAATATTACTTCCAGTGTCTGCTCTAAGTGAGGCTCTGGGGCTGTGCTGGGCTGTGCTGGGCTGGGCTGGGCTGTGCTGGGGCTGAGCTGGGCTGTGCTGGGCTGTGCTGGGCTGTGCTGGGGCTGAGCTGGGGCTGGGGCTGGGCTGGGCTGGGCTGGGGTTGGGGCTGGGGCTGGGCTGGGTTGGGCTGGGTTGGGCCTGGGGTTGGGGCTGGGGCTGGGCTGGGTTGGGGCTGGGGTTGGGGCTGGGGCTGGGCTGGGGCTGGGGCTGGGCTGGGGTTGCAGCTTGGTAGTAGAACAATATTCAGTGTGTGAAAGCTGCAATAATGGAGCTGAGTTCCATCATCAGTGACACACTCTCTCACACATGTGCACACCCCACATATATGCTAAAACACATGCACAGGTTTTTTTTTTTTTTTTTTTTTTTTTTTTGGTTTTTCGAGACAGGGTTTCTCTGTGTAGCTTTGCGCCTTTCCTGGAACTCACTTGGTAGTCCAGGCTGGCCTCGAACTCACAGAGATCCGCCTGGCTCTGCCTCCCGAGTGCTGGGATTAAAGGCGTGCGCCACCACCGCCCGGCCTATGCACAGGTTTTAACACAAGATACACAATACACACACACACACACACACACACACACACACACACACAAACATTTATATTCAAACTCCTGCACACTCAAATACTACCTACACTAAGACACTCACAAATACACACTGACAAAAGTCACTCTGACAATGTCACATTTACATATGTGTACATGTGGACACACATGCTCATTCAAATACACATTCACTCACACACTCAGATACCCACAACTCACAAATACATTGACATACAGGTATGCACACATACATTCACCTACATACACCTACAAAGATTAAGCCAACACATACATGCAATATTCAAACAGACACAATCTTATACATGCCCACCCACAGTCATATTAACACATGTATCCATACTAACAGAGAAATGTGCACTCACATCCACATATGCACTTACAGGCTTGTATACCAAGTCACATACATAGGCTCACACTCTCACACTATGAAAGACACTCCCAACACATGCTCATGTCAACTCATACAGATATATAGGCTTACAAATGCATGCTCACATACAATCATATTCACATGCATTCACACATGGTGTACATTCACACACACAAAAACACACTCACATTCATGAAAATATACTTAAAGACCTTTAGAGTTGCATATATGTGCACACAAATTTTCAAACTCACACATATTCTTATGTATATCAATACATGCTCATATACAAGTACCAATTCACACAACCCTGTTGTAGAATATTACTTTAAGATGTGTTACATTTGTCTATGCTGTGGGACATTTGTTTAATGATACAAAGATGTGTTGCATTCTTTTATGTTGTATTTGTTTAAACTCTGTGAAGCCTTACTTTGCCTGTCTAATAAAGAGCTGAATGGCCAATAGCCAGTCAGGAGAAAGGATAGGCGGGGCTGGGAGGCAGAGAGAATAAATACGAGGGAGAAATCTGGGAAGAGAGATCTGGGAGCGAAAGGAAGAGAGGTGGACATCAGAGGCCAGCCACCCAGCCAGTCACGGAGTAAGAAGGAAAGACAGACATATAGAATAGAGAAAGGTAAAAGCCCAGAGGTAAGAGGTAGACGGGATAATTTAAGAAAAGCTGACTAGAAATAAATCAAGCAAAGGCCAAGCACTTATAAGTAATAATAAGCCACTGCATAATTATTTGGTAGCTGGGTGGTGGGCCCCCAAGAGTAAAAGAAACCAACTACACAACCCCCCACACACACGTGCCCATAAACACTAACACTCCAAATCACACATATAAAATACTCTCTCACATGCACAAACACATGTGTGTACACACAATTACATAAACCCTCATGAATGCACATGCTTTCGCATTCACTAGCACTCACATGCTCACTTTTATTTAAGGATACACTCAAGCACACTCCCAAAACTCACACACACACCTCATGCACACACACTCAAACGTATGCACATGCTCACACTAATGCTCAGATGAAGGCGTCAGGACTTCTTTACTACGGATAAAGGGCTTCAGAGCTCCTCACTCATTTTCTACTGTGAATTCATTATTCTAAACTATTCTTACATCATGTTTTAAAAATGCTTTTCAGATACTACCACCATGACACAAGCCATGGTCTCCCCTTTACATAAATGGCACCTAAGACAACTGGACATTTCAAGTTAAAATATCTACGTATACAAGCCCCTCCCCTTTCTATTTATTTATTTGTTTGTTTGCTTATTTATTTATTTAGAGACAGGAACTCATGTACCCTTGAATTCCTGGTTGGCCTTGAACTCATGATCCTCCTGCCTCTACTTCCCAAGTTTTGGGATTACAGGCATGCACTTCCATGCTCGGTTGACTACAGCCACTGCTAAGAAAATTAAATGCACTGTAAACTTATTAATAATGAAAACTACTACATGTGAAGATTAGTAATCTACACATCTGCTTCTATATAAGCCATCCTCATAACACACAGTCCCAATGAAGGAAGAACATGTTGGGAATGAGCCGGTGTCCACTCCAGCTGGGAACCAGGCAGAGCACAGGGGCAGGGGAAGCGGGATTGCAGCTAATCCCCAGCAGTGGCCACACCTGCTTCAGCCAGTGTCCAGAACAGCTTTCTGCTACCATGGAGGCTTTACCACTTCTCACATCACTGCTGTTCCAACTGTGGGATGCCTTAGAGAGCCACATGTCGCTTAATGATGGGGGGAGTTTGGAGAAATAACAGGCTGCTGACTGACCCGCTCTGAAAAGACCACAGAGTGTACTTATACAAATTAAGTGGTCATGAGATCCCTAGGCAACAGACTCTTAAGGGACCACCGTGCTATGTGGTGGATGTTGTTATGCCACACATGGCTACACTGGAGAGTGTGGCTATGGAAACGCCTTGGGCTCACATCATGATGCTAAGTAAGTCTTCATAATGTTTATTATACAGCTTTATTTGCAGCTAAGTGGAAACACTAATTTATATGTAAAACAGAAGGAAAGTGCCCCTTCTAAGATGAGTAATCACTCTTCAACACAGAGCATGAAGAAGATGGAGATGTAGAAGCCTTCATCAGTTGGGAATGAATAGCAGGCCTGGTATTGAAAAGCATGAGCCACACCAGAGAGGGGAGCAGAGTGGCTCAGTGCAATCACAGGAAGACAATGTGTCCCCACGGGATAAAATTAGGAGCACGGGAAAGGGGTCTGGTGGCTGCATCTTCTTGGCTTCACTTTTTAGTGACCCACTGTATACTCTATTTTTGAGTTGCAACTTAATAAATGGAAGTCAGTGCATCTTAAGGGAGCATGCCAGGAGCTATTTCAGGATGCACCAGAAGAGGGCGCCAAGCCAAACGCTAATCAGAAAGCCTCTGAAAGGAGTGGCTTCCTCCCTGGACCTCGCAGAAGAGTCTCTGTTCACTTCTCCTGTTGTATTTAAAATCTCCAGGCTGGAGCACAGAGTCAACAAGAACTGGGGCGATCGTGAGTCCTTCTGACTTCAGCACTTGGGAAGAGATGAGGCATGCCACCACCTGATGCCCCCACACCAAGGCACACCAGTGCACTGAGGAAAGCTGTGCCATCTGCATGGAGCTGCTCTGCAGATGTGCATCACATGGATGTAGGGGATTCATCTGGGAAGAACTATGCAGCGATAGTGTGGACAGTAAGCTTAAAAGATCCCTGAATGAGCAGCATCATGGGCTGGACACTAACTACTCAGCTTTCACACGGGTCACACACTTCACACACAGTACTTTGTGGTGTGGGCATTTTCCCCATTCACTCAGACTTGCGCATGAATTCTACCTTGAGTGTGTATGCATTGCATGTCTGTACATACACTTTGTATAAATTTGCACACAACAGACACATCTAGATCTATTTGTAAAATGCCTCTCAGACTGTTTCCTAATCTATAAAACATGGATAAATGCTAACACCTGCTGCACAAGGGTGAGAGAAGACATTAGAAGTGGAAGGAGAAATGTGCCTTTGCTGACTGATACCCTGTATGGAGAACAGTGTTACACACACCTTCAAGTACTCAATGAATAAACACGTTAATTAATTAACTTCCTCGAGGAAGAGGCATGAATAAAGACTTTGTGTTGATCAAAAATTAAACAAATAAACATAAAGCTGGAGAAACACCTCCCAGACTGGAAAAGTCTGCTGGAGATGCTGCCAGCGAACTCAGCCTCTGCTCAGGGCTGACCACAGTTGCCCTCTGCTCCAGGTAGGCTCTCACACTGCCTGCAAGGGGAGCTGTGCCTTCTCTCGGGCCATTGTGAGGCTGGAAGCAGGGTCTCTGGTCACTCATTATACACACTGGCAAAGACTTGCCAATTACCTGGGCTAAATGCCATTTCTGGAAGTTTCACCTCGAAGATGATGCTGTGTGCCACATCTCTCGCCCCCTGCATGGTGCGGTCTCGAAAGCAGAGGACTTCAACGGTCTGGAAACTGCCGCTCCTGTTGCCCCCACCGGATTTGTGTTTATTTCATTTGATTAAAAAAGGAGAAGAAAAAGAGCTGGCGTAAGTGCTTTCCAGGCCAGCTGCTGAGAATCCAGGGCATGCAATCATGCCTGTCTGACCTCCTTAACCTTGGAGAGATTTTGAGGACATTCGTGCAGGCACCCTCTGTCTGTGCATTTAGAGTCTGGCTGCCAGTTTAGCTGGGATTTTTTTCCCCTTAGGTGAACTTTTCTAGAGCAATCACACAGCAGACAGAGAGTTCTGACAAAGGAAGAAGCTTTTAAATCCAGGGTGGGATGCTCCCAAGATCTTAACATGGGACCCCTGAGGCCCTTTGCCAGCAGCCAGGAGACACACAGCAAATGTTCTGGGACTCGCTGAGTGCACGAATGACCAGTCTCTCTAGGGTCTGTCAAAATTTGTCTATCTTTATATTTTGGAGTAAACATTTTTACTTAAGTAAAGCAAGCATAGAGAAAATCACACAATCCCTCTAAGCTTGACCACACCTATCTGGAGCACCCCCCCAGGTCCTCACAGTGACTTTGCCTGATGTGAACTACATAAATGGAATCATGACATGTATTCTTTCAGGCTGGCTAAATTCACTAAACACTGTGTTTGAAAACCCATCTATAGCTGGTTGTGCTGGTGAACACCTTTAATTCTGGCACTCAGGAGGCAGAGCCTGGAAGATCTCTGTGAGTTCCAGGTCACCAGAGCTCTCTACACAGTAAAACTCTGTCTTAAAAAAAAAAAAGAAAAAGGCACAAATGTGGTGCACATAAATACATACTTGGGCAAAACACTCAATACACATGAAATAAAAATAAGCCTTAAAAAAAAAGCAAGCCGTGCATGAAGATACACTTGGATAGGACACCTGCTATGAGGTGCCTCCCAGGCCTCTGCCATCCATTCGGAATGGAAGGGCATGAGGCTGGGTCTAGGAACCACAGTGCTGCTATACACTGTGTGTGTGTGTGTGTGTGTGTGTGTGTGTGTGTGTGTGTGTGTGTGTGTGTATGCCTGCTTGCATCCAGCCTGTACCACTGTGAGCAACAAGCTCAGAACACCACCACAGAGCCGTGGGTGTTTTTAACTCCAGCAGATCCTACCACAAGTGTTGCAGCATCTTTTGTGAATTTTGCTGCCTCCCATTTCAACTATACAAGCATAGTCACTTTCATAGGTGATTTTTGGCAGGGCTGGGGCCGCTGACCTCTTACAGGTTTATTTCCCTGATACCCAGTGATGCTGAGTGTCTTATTAAGTGTAAGTTGACTTTTCCTAATACCCCTTTTTATTATTTTAGGATTAGGAAAGATTTTAAAGGTGGGAAGTGGTAGCAATAGGAAATTCCTGTCTAAAAGCAGGAAGGGAGGGCTGGAGAATGTCAGTATCAAAGTCTCCAACTATGACCTCACCATGATCTAAATGACTTCAGCATAGTACAGGCTGGGGCTGAGGCTGGGACTCCTTAGCAGACCTGCTTAAGAGCACCAGGGGTAGAAACTGGACCATAACTAATTTAATTGGCTTATTTTCTAGTTTCCATGCCAGGAATGAAATCAATGCCCTTAGGGTAAGATGCTGACATAAGTAGACCCTTATGGAAACATACAGATGAAGACACACAGACATGGACACACATGTAAATACCATCTGTGGGCTGCCAGGACCAAAAAATTCCTCAAAGGCCATCCGGGGTACTGGGCTAGGTTACAGGGATCGTACACACCAACTGTTATCTGTGAACAGAAAACACTAGCTGAGAGCCAAACACCAGGTCAGTTTGATAGTACCACACGAGGCTAACACTCCATAGAAAGTGGACACTTGGCTGAAGAGAAGAAAGGCTTGGGATCTCACCCTAGACAAGAGGACTCCTGGACAGGTAAGAACTGGAACGTTTTTCCCTGTGCTCCCTGGCCCAGCACAAAGCATGGCAGACAGCGGGAACTAGAGAGAAAGGACAGGAAGGGATGGAGAGACGGAGGGGAGGAGGAGGGGCAGAGGGACAGAAGATAGAGGGCTGAGGACTGTACTCAAGACTTACAAGGAGGGCCCTCTGAGAAATGCAAGCTGTAAGAATGGTCCATCTGTGTGTAATGAAGACAGGAAATGAGGACAAGGCCTGGGCCCCGAGTCTACAGTTGGTTCAAATTCAAAAGCTACATGTCTGCAGAGTGGGAATACATGTTCCTCCCACCTCTTTCCACTGCTCCCTTAACCCTGACTTCCATCTGGAGAATTCTACTCAACTTCAAACCACAGGTCTCCAGTGAGGGCTTTACTTGGGGAGGTCTGGAGCTGCTCTCCTCCCACAAGCCATCACACACTATAGGTGAGGTGTATCTTTTCCCATCTCCTCTCTGTCAAAAGTACCTGGTCTCTCTCTCTCTCTCTCTCTCTCTCTCTCTCTCTCTCTCTCTCTCTCTCTCTTTTCTTTTTTCGAGACAGGGTTTCTCTGTGTAGCTCTGGCTGTCCTGGAACTTGCTCTGTAGACCATGCTGGCCTCAAACTCACAGATCCGCCTGCCTTTGCCTCCTGAATGCTGTGTGCACCACCACATCCAGCCAGATGCTGATTTCTAAAATCCATTCTCCAATAACAGATGTCAGGGCGCCTTGGACACATGGCTGATTTTAGAGCTGAGACAGAACACAAGCTGTGCCTGGACCATCTTAGAGTATGAGAAAACAGGAAGTACTCAAGGACCGTCTTAGAGTACCAGAAAACAGGAAGTACTCAAGGACCATCTTAGAGTATGAGAAAACAGGAAGTACTCAAGGACCATCTTAGAGTATGAGAAAACAGGAAGTACTCAAGGACCATCTTAGAGTACGAGAAAACAGGAAGTACTCAAGGACCATCCTAGAGTACCAGAAAACAGGAAGTACTCAAGGACCGTCTTAGAGTACCAGAAAACAGGAAGTACTCAAGGACCATCTTAGAGTACCAGAAAACAGGAAGTACTCAAGGACCATCTTAGAGTAGGAGAAAACAGGAAGTACTCAAGGACCATCTTAGAGTAGGAGAAAACAGGAAGTACTCAAGGACCGTCTTAGAGTACCAGAAAACAGGAAGTACTCAAGGACCATCTTAGAGTACCAGAAAACAGGAAGTACTCAAGGACCATCTTAGAGTACCAGAAAACAGGAAGTACTCAAGGACCGTCTTAGAGTAGGAGAAAACAGGAAGTACTCAAGGACCGTCTTAGAGTAGGAGAAAACAGGAAGTACTCAAGGACCATCTTAGAGTACGAGAAAACAGGAAGTACTCAAGGACCGTCTTAGAGTATGAGAAAACAGGAAGTACTCAAGGACCGTCTTAGAGTAGGAGAAAACAGGAAGTACTCAAGGACCATCTTAGAGTACGAGAAAACAGGAAGTACTCAAGGACCATCTTAGAGTAGGAGAAAACAGGAAGTACTCAAGGACCATCTTAGAGTAGGAGAAAACAGGAAGTACTCAAGGACCATCTTAGAGTACCAGAAAACAGGAAGTACTCAAGGACCATCTTAGAGTAGGAGAAAACAGGAAGTACTCAAGGACCATCCTAGAGTAGGAGAAAACAGGAAGTACTCAAGGACCGTCTTAGAGTACCAGAAAACAGGAAGTACTCAAGGACCATCTTAGAGTAGGAGAAAACAGGAAGTACTCAAGGACCGTCTTAGAGTACGAGAAAACAGGAAGTACTCAAGGACCGTCTTAGAGTACGAGAAAACAGGAAGTACTCAAGGACCATCCTAGAGTACCAGAAAACAGGAAGTACTCAAGGACCGTCTTAGAGTACCAGAAAACAGGAAGTACTCAAGGACCGTCTTAGAGTACGAGAAAACAGGAAGTACTCAAGGACCATCTTAGAGTACCAGAAAACAGGAAGTACTCAAGGACCATCTTAGAGTACCAGAAAACAGGAAGTACTCAAGGACCATCTTAGAGTACCAGAAAACAGGAAGTACTCAAGGACCGTCTTAGAGTACCAGAAAACAGGAAGTACTCAAGGACCATCTTAGAGTACCAGAAAACAGGAAGTACTCAAGGACCATCTTAGAGTACCAGAAAACAGGAAGTACTCAAGGACCATCTTAGAGTACCAGAAAACAGGAAGTACTCAAGGACCATCTTAGAGTACCAGAAAACAGGAAGTACTCAAGGACCATCTTAGAGTACCAGAAAACAGGAAGTACTCAAGGACCATCTTAGAGTACCAGAAAACAGGAAGTACTCAAGGGGGGAAAGGAATGAGGCCACATCAGGGAAATGAAGAGAGCAGTACAAAGAGCCTGAGTGTCCAAACAGGAGCAACCAGAGGACAAGTGAGTTCAGGGAGACGCCACCTAAACTATAATAAGTGTCTATGGCCCCATGGCAGAGCGTCTGCCTAGTGTGTGCCAGACTCTGAATTCCATCCTCAGCTCTGCCAAAGAAATCGATAATCCACACCCATCAATATTGGAATTCATAAGTCAATAAGAACTCAAACAATAGATATGGATGCTGTCCTCTTTAGGAGAAGACCTTAATCCTCCCATCTCTGGGGGAGACTGAACTGTGGGATTTGTTTCCAAAGCAAAAACAGTAACTTTATAGGAGAAGGCTGTAACCAAGAGTGCCATGTGGCTATCAGGGATCCCTGGGGAGGAGGAAAGAACAGGGGAACTTGATTACATTTGGATTCTTTAAAAAAAAACCCATAACCACATTCTTTTTTAAAAAATTTAAGCCGGGCGGTGGTGGCGCACGCCTTTAATCCCAGCACTCGGGAGGCAGAGCCAGGCGGATCTCTGTGAGTTCGAGGCCAGCCTGTACTACCAAGTGAGTTCCAGGAGAGGCGCAAAGCTACACAGAGAAACCCTGTCTCGAAAAAACCCCAAAAAAAAAAAAATTTATTTATTTTTTATACAATATTTTGATTATATTATTTCCTCTCCACCAACTCCTCTCATACCCACCCAATGTTCTTTCTCCCTAAAACAAAACAAAACAAATACCAGAACAAATAAGTATATATATATATACACATACACACACACATACACACACACACACACACACACACACACACTAAGACAAAAATACCAAAATGAAACTAGATCAGTTATGGGGCTAGAGGAAGACCGACTACTATTATTCTGGTAAATGAACATAGCAATAAAATGACTCCTAATGATATATTGCTATGTCCATAGATCAGAGCATTGCTCAACCCTCATCAGAGAAGCTTGTTCTTGTAGTAGATGGGAATTAACAGAGAGACCCACAACTGGACAATGTGCAGAGAGTGAGAGACTTTGGAGCACTCGGTCCTAAATGAGATGTCTTGCAGAAGAGGAGGCAGAAAGACTGTAAGAGCCAGAGGTGGTGAACAATTCCAAAGAGACAGCAGGATGGACACCCATGAACTCACAGAGACTGTGGCAGCATGCACAAGGCCGGCACTGTGCAAACCGAGAAAATCCCAACACTGGGAAGGGGAATGGACACCAAGTCCCACCCTAACCAAGACGACACTCACTGTCACTGAGAAGATCAGCTATACTGCAGGGCAGGCCCCATGGCTAGGAGTGGTTGGCCAATGCAAAACAGACTCACCAATGCAAAACACACAGACACACACACATATATTAGGTTTTTGTCTTAATTTTTTTGTTTAGTTTGTGTCCATAGGCACATTTTAATAAGGAAACAGATACTCTGAAAACATGGCTGAACCGTTGTCCAATTGTCAAGGTCATCAACACAAGACAGTTTGGAGAGCCTAAGAGCCTAAGGAGACACGGCACAACAGAAAAACTGCAGTGTGATGCCCTGGGTCAGGAGCTACTGGGAAACCCAGAGGACCGCAGCAGCCCTGGCTGCTGAGCTCTGAAGAAGGAGCAGGGGTGGAGGTAGCAACGTGAAGGAAAACTGAAACTGCACAAGGCCAGACCGGAACTCTGCACCACTCTGCAACACATTCTTTTTGATATCTTCCCAGTTACCTTTAAAATTATTTTGTTTTTTATGTGTATGAATGTTTTCCTTGCATGCATATTTTGGCACCACATGATAGCTGGTGCCCACAGAGGTCAGAAGAGGGCACTGGATCCCCTGGAACTGGAGTTATGGATGGTTGTAAATTGGTACATGGGTGCTGGGAATCAAACCTGGATCCTCTGGAAGAGCAGCAATGAACTTCACCACTGAGCCATCTCTCCAGGCCCACTGGTTACTTTTAAAATTGTATTTTATGTGTATGGGTGTTGTGCTTGCATGCATGTCTGTGCACTGGGTGTAAAGTACCAAAAGAGGGCAGCAGATTCCCTGAAACTGGATTTACAGATGGTTGTGAGCTACCAGGTAGGTGTTGGGAATCAAACCTTGGTCCTCTGGAAAAGCAGTCAGTGCTCTTAACCACCGAGCAATCTCTCTAGTTCCTGCAACTATCTTCTATAAATCTAAAGTTATTCCAAAATAAAAGTTTAATTTTTAATGATAAAGTGGATGCTGAGTGTCTAGAGAGCATGGAGAATCCTTTCCGTCCTTCTACGATCTTAGACATACAGTAGCTGTCTAGAAAATGTTTATTGAATGATGGAAAGACGGATGAACAAAGGCTAGGATGGACTTTGGCATTTGTCCAGCATGTGCAGGTCCTGTGTTTGATTCCCAGCACTGTCAGAAAGCAAAACAAAACAAAAACTACGGCCGAAGGCTGGACATAACTGGGAGGGAAGGGAGCGAGAATGAGGAAGGAGGCGGAA